ACGAAGCTGATGGTATCACGCGAATCAGCGCACCTTTGCTATCTGTGAATCAAGAAACTAAATTACATCTTACAGGAACATACTATCCTCGCTTAGAAACTAGAAATTTCCTGAAAAGGAAAAAAAAGCTAACACCTCAATATTACAACCCTCAGAAGTGCATAATTAAATCAGAGTTACATGAGTTCGCTCTTCAGTTCGGAATCGTTGACTCTCTTGTTCGTTTCCCTCGCCACCTTTTCAGCATCACAGAGACGCCACGTATACAGGGGAGGGGCAAAAAAGGAGTCACTTTGCCCATGGCGCATATCATCAAACTTTTCGTCGCAAAGGATGCCGCTGTTATTGGGAGTTATACGGCGAATTATTCCTTAGATGTCCCCCATAAGCAGAATCAGGCCCACCTTCGCTGCTTTCACCGTCTCCAGAATATGACGTCATCTGTCATCACCGTCGAGCTCAAGGACGCCTACCATATCGCTCCACTACTCCTCTACTACTCACTACTCCCTCGACGTTCTTGTACGCTCCCCAAGCCGCTCGTTTCCTCCTGCTCAGCTCTGGAGCTAGATCGTTCATCATATTGATTTCCCGACCTAGGTACACGTAGCTGGAGCATTCGGTGATGTTCGTTCCGTTGAGCGTGAATGGGGCATCAGGAACCAATCCGTTTCTCATAAACATCGTCTTCGTTAGGTTCAGCTGTAGACCGACCTTACCACAGGCGCAGTCGAAATCAGCCAGCATTCGCTCCGCTTGCTCGATGTTCGGCGTTATAGAACGATGTCGTCAGCAAAACGAAGGTGGTGTAGTTGCCGGCCGTCGACCTTCACTCCCATGTCTTCCCATTCCAGTTGACGCATGACGTTCTCGAGAGCGGCGCTGAAGAGTTTGGGCGAGATGGTGTCGCCCTGTCGAACCCCTCTCTTGACGTCGATGATGACCTCCTTGTAGAATGGTGAGATTCTGGTCGTAAAGTTGCTGTAGAGCTCACGGGGAATGAACAGGGACTAGAAATTATTTCTTCATGTGGTGGCACTGACACGCATATTGTACCAAGTTTTTAATGGCTTAGAAATATCAACGCCGCTCAAGGTGAGCCCAGTAAAATCCTATATTTACTAATTTTGTATCATAATAACAAGAACTGCATCCTTACCACGGATTTTTACGGCACAGAACTTCAACAGTGGTTCGACTGCGGCACGGGACACGTCACACATTTGCACTGATTAGGAACTATTTGAGATAGAAGAGAAGTTAAACGTCTACAAACCTACCTGCTCGCTGCCAGTGTCCACGAAACTGCTGTGGTAGTCCGCATTCTCAAAATCCTCTGCCAACTTATGCGTGAGAATCAAGAGAACAAGTCTGAGTAAGGCTGAGCCCATTCAAATATGTACCTGCATCGTCCACGGCCTTTCTTAAATTTGGATGTGGAGCTAGAAGCGTTCACAAACAGAGAGTTCAATTACGCTATTGTTACCATGGTCATCATCGCTATGGTTCTCTTCGCCATAGGAGAATCGAGAGGTCGGGAGTGAAACGAGATGCCACACCATTGTGCTCTCTACTCAGTTGAGAATACCTGCGATGACTGCTGGTGTAGCGTGCAAGTACTTCTGACGTGCATTCACATTTCGGCCTGAAGCGGTTCAACGAAACTTAACCGAGACAGTGGAATTAGCATAAGATGGAAGAGCTGCAGGGCAAACGACAGGGACGGTAGTAAAGTGCCCTAGACTGGCAGTCAAATGTGGTGATTTACACCCATTGGCGAGGAATAGAGAACGTGGAAACATGGACATGACCCTAGTTGAAACCGCGAGCCTCGCCACCCGACCTGCAAAACTTGCAACTCTCGGAATTGAGCCCTGGATGGTAGGGCTCATAGGCTGGTTTTTTGCCACTGCACCAGGGATCACTCGACCACACACTGGAAGAGATGTTGATGAAAGGTATGCAATGGATGTTGCTTGCAAATCTTAGTCTCCAAGCGGTGCTGATCCAGCAACCTTGCCAGCGGCAGCGTGGAACGTCCCCATTGAGCCAATGGCAATTTGCCATAGGCGAAGTGGTGAGCATCCACCACGTTGCTTGCAAAAGTCGCGTCACACACGGGTTTGAACCTTCGGTGCATCGTCCCATGAGCGGCATCGCTACCACTGCACTATGGAGCCCTTCTTATTGACGGTGAAAGAATTCTAGAGGAAAGGCAATAACCCACAAAAGTTGCAAAGATTTTGACATCTAGTAGTATCGATCCCGTGGCCGGCTCAACACCAACGTGGACCGCAGGCGCTACACCATTGACGGATCAATGCAAGTTGCTTCCCTTTCCCTTTTCAACTTACTGCTTTGACCCACACAGCCTGGATGTTTGGAGCAGGGTCAACCCTGCGTTGCGCAAAGAACAACGAGGGGGTCGTATTCAGCCGACCGAAAAGGGAGGGGGTCGTATCCACAGACGGGCTGCAAGACGGCTTGAAAAGTGCAGTGTCCGGGAGTGCACTTTCAGCCTCTAATGTTCTCCAGGAGCTCTGCACGCTGTCGGAGAGTCACACAGACATGAGCTCCATGGGAGCATTAAAGCATGCAGAGCACTATAAGTCTCACCATCAGCTTATTATCCTTAATCGACGCTATCCGGACGGCGCTTTTGCTCCGCGGCATAGATCAAGAGTACAATAGACAATAGCCAAACTTTGTTACAGTGTAGTGCAAAAACATGGTCTGTCTTCGAGGTAAGCAAACCAGCCCTTTTGGCGTTTCGGCTGGGACCGTATGCTGAATGTTGGGGAGGGGATGGGGTCCCCAACGGTCGACGGTTTACTTCAACTCGGTTGGTACGATAGGAGAGTACTGACGCAAGTGGTGCAGCTGGTCCAGCAGCTCCGCCAGAAGGGCTGGTTTGCTCACCCCAGGACTAAGCCTTGGAGAGGGGACGGACCCGTCCTCTCTTTAAGGCTTAGTTCTGAGGTAAGCACCAAATTGTGGCGGTTCTAAGGACCGAGTTGAAGTGGTCCGTCCACCGTCGGGGACTCCATCCCCTCCCCAACATTCAGCATACGGTCCCAGCCGAAGCGCCAAAAGGGCTGGTTTGCTTACGTCCTGTCTTCGATGAAACATTCCTGAAATCCCGAGGAGAACAAAGTGTAGAGCAGTTCATGGGAAAGTGAAACAAGAGTGCCATATAACAGCACAATGCAACTCAATCAGGATACTAACACCTTCTTCAGGAAAACAGAAGACTTTCAAATGCGAGTGCGAATTCTGCCCACAGATAGGTGCACGGCGTATACCCGAGCAGGCGTTTTCCCATAAAAACGCCTCCTCTGTCAGCGGCCGTAAGCAGACAAACTTTCTGAAGAGAGTTTCGATGCTTTCAAATAAAATCTAAGCGAAACAAAGTGTAGCGAATTTGCTGAATTGAGTTCTAGAGACGCCGTAGGAAAATTGAGGCAGAAGAAAGAATTTCAGGAAATTTCACAGTTGTTATGAAGTACTCTTCGAGTGGATTCCAACAATCTTTACCGCTTCTCATCACATTAATTTTGAAGGAAGTTATGGGCCTTTGAAGACTGCATAGTCGCGGTCCAGGAAAATGGCTTGAAAAAAATCAAGGTGGAAAAAACGGAACAACGGGACTATTTTTTGAGCGAGTGATTATTTCAAAAGTTTTAGCACTTATTCGAAAGCTCTAATCTTCTAGTTTCTAATTAGCCTTAGACATCTGCAAAAAGTTGATTATGAAGAAAGTTATGAATGTTTGAATGTCAAAAACTCGCGTGTGCACAAAAACGGAACAACGGGACGATTTTTTGAAATATTGAACATCCACAACATTTCAAATACTCCTCAGGAAGAAAACTATTTATTTTTAAAATTTTGGTGTCCGATTTCATGAAACAGCTTCTGAAAGAAAATATAACCTTCTGAATGGAGGGGTTTGGATTGCAATGTAATTGCTACAAGGTTTAGTTTTTCAGATTATAAGGTAAGGAAAGTTGAGAGATCGAAAAAATCCTGGTGGGTTTCTGAAAGTAGAAATCTTTACGATTAAAATGATGTATTGGTTTACGCAAAAATTTGGAAATTCCTTCTATTTAATGAATAAAACTTCATTTGCCTCGATTCCTCCTCTGAGCGAGACAGAGCGCGCGGATTGACCACGGTCCACCACTTCTCCATGTTGGTGACTGCCATCATTGATGAGCATTGATGAGCATTAAATTATGTGAAAGACATGATAGTTAATATGGGGGGTCGTACCGATACCCCCGAAAAGGAAGGGGGTCGTAAAAATTTGGGAATTTGCGCAACGCAGGGTTGACCCTGGTTGGAGTGCGCCATCTCTAAAAAGTCTCCCGGAGGACTTTTTAGAGATGAAGTGGCAGCATGTTTGCGCCCTCCACGCTCCCTAACTTCCAAGTAAGTTCGAACTCACTTCGACCATTCCGACGGGGAATCTTCGGAGGGGTTCCAGAGGTGCTCTACGCATCTTTTAGGGAGACATGGATGGAAGCCATGACCAAGTTACCACGAGCTCATGGTCACATGGTAACTAGCAGTTGAGGCCACTTTACTACCGTCCCAGGTCGCATAAGATGTGAGCAGAATGTGTGCGATGAAGGACACACAGTGGCTCTTATCTAAAGTACTCTTCGAATGAATTGAGTACTTTTATAATCCTTAGTATGGGAGAGCCCAAAGGAGTGCTCCACACGCCAGAAATGCAGAACCTGATCGTGTCAGTGTTGTGCAGTGAAACGGGTGGAAGTAGTGCCCTATCGCCGATGCTTGTATAGGTTGAGGCTAAGTTGTGACCCACTCTGACCGAACGAAACTACCACGTCTCTTCGCTTTCATCTTCGTGGGCCACTTTAGTGGGCCCACAGGATTCTGCAGGAACCATCTTGTTTAAATCCTCAATTTTATTTTTATGAATCATTTTCATATTCCAGCTTACAGGGTCCATTATTGCCACCGAATATGCTGCTATGCTAATAAATCTGCTCGAAGTCAATTTCAGTTCTTCTTTCGACGTCATTGTATCGTAGCTAATATTCTACAACAAAACAGCTATGAATGGATTTTATTCGTGGACAGCGACATTGGTGTGGTCAACGAGAAGGTGTAAGTAACAGTAACAGTTTTGCAAGTCCCCCTCAGCACTTCATGAACTCACAACCCAGGGTGCTTCTGCAGCCGTTGCTAAGATTTGAAATTTTGTATTCTTAGAGTGCGAGATAAAATAAAAAGGTTGTTGTTTACGTGAAATATATGGAACTACAGAAGTGCTGAGGTTTCAATCGTAAACAGCACATACCCATTATGTTGTGAACCAGGGCACCACCCTTTTTGATCTTTCTCTTGTTAAAATTTATAGTTAATCTGGAAGGGAGAGCTCCCAACCTAAGTAAGGGAAGAAGCAGCCATTCGGGTAAACTGTTTGATCCTGCAATTCGTAAAAAAAAACATTCATTCAACCTCACAAGGTGGTGGGTAGGTTGAGTAGGTGGCGTATTCTGTTTAAGTGTCAAGACTCCACCTTTCCGTGGAATGATCAGACTGCATAAAAGGAGTTATATGCGCATCATATAATACATGCGCATTTCATACAAATAATTGCTTCACGGGATGAAGGTCGAGTGCATGGCGCAATCCTGGATGTGTAGGGAATCAGAATTACTACTCACTGTTGAATTTGTCGTGAGGTGAGCTATCAGATGGCATAATTTTCGAATTGCGTGAGCCGCTTCTTCAAGAATTATGGCGAGCCGACGGTTGCGACGGACTGACTGCGTCGCAGATCGTCGATTGAACAAAAAGCAGCAGTACGGTATAAGGAATGCAACTTACTTTTGCCGATTTAGCTCTCTTGAAGTATGAGTACGAATGTACAATGATTCGACATCAATAAAACTTCTTCTGGCGTATGACGCTGTGTGTTACATAGATGATTGGTGAAGGATTTCTTCTCAACGCATTTTCGTCCAAATGTCTTCTACTATTGATATGGTGTGCGCGTGTGTACATATGATCCAAAAGCTATGTAATGCATACACAGTGTCCTTCGGCAGAAGAAGCTCTCTTGAAGAGTGTTGAATCATTACCTTCGATTATACTTCAAAAGAGATAAAATGATAAAAATGAGCAAAATTTTTGATAACTATTCAAGCACCTACAAATGAAGCATTGAAAACTAGTCAAAATGAATGAAAAAGTTTAGCTGAATGAAATTCTATAACCTCACCGACACTAGGGTTTGGAAGTGCGGCTTTTCGAATCACGGCGAAGAGCACACCAGTCATTCCTTGCGGAGGAGATGGAGAATCCAAACTGATCAAAGTGGTGGATTGATTTTGGATTAAAATGTTCTTCTGTTCTTAAAATATATAATCTATTATAAAATTTATTCTTATTATAAGATTCTATTATTCTTATTATATTGGTCTTATTATAAAATTTATTCTTGACCAGAAATGGCATTTCTAACCCGCCAATTTTGCGCAACAAAAAGTTGTTTGGGGTGTAGTTAACTGGCCTGCAGAAAAGTCTGGCGGTGGACTAATGTCCTCAACAATAGAACTTTCAAATGCTATGTCGGTATTTTTTATAAAAATAAATACGAAGGATATTCGAAAAGCATCATGCGGATAACGTGATAGACGTAACAACATGTAGTACAATTATGTAACTATTTTCGGAAGACAAGCAGCAGAAATTCAGAAGAATAGAGAAGTACATACGGAACGAGGCCGATATCATATTCTATGACAGGTATTTCAACTTCGAAATAATGGCAGGTGAGTAGGTGTTCTCTAAGCACTATCTCACGGGGTGCTGATGATTAACGCCGGTTGCTTGTTACTCCTCAATTATAGGCACCTATTTGGTTAGAAAATCCGACTTTGCTATCAAATTTCTCCATGGCTGGGCAGACTATGAGAAGCGTCTTCCAGACAATTTTAACGGAAGCGACAATGGTGCTATACATGTGAGTGATTGTTCGATTATATGATATTCGTTCATTCACAGTAAGAACAAGGATAACAAAAGGAAGCTAAAAAGGAAGGATAGTAGTACGAAGTGGCGGTTGCTCGGAAATCCAAAGCTACCTTCTATATATCTGCTAAACGACACTGCGAACAAATTTTGGTTTTTGTAGCTTATGTGGTACGATTTGTAGGATGTTTAAGGAATGGATCGCATCAGCATTTCCCTCTGCTTTCTTCGTCGAACGTTAAACTACCTAACTACTTAGTCCCGCCGCAATCCTCATCTGTATCTCGATTCTTGATGAATTTCCCTCTGAATTGAAACTTTGGCATTGCCGCAATCGATTGTACGCAGTGCAGAAGTGAGGCGCTTTCATGCGAAGGGAAGGTGGTGACATTCTTGTTTTGAAGATCAAAATCACCTGTATCACCTGTCGTCCCGTTGATCGTCGATTTGCTCGAGCGGGCGCCAGCAACGTCTCCATTCGTCCCTGTCGCGTGCTAGAGTGGTCCAGTGGATCCTCCTCGCTCGAGGGACACGAAGTCCTTCATTCCTTTCGTTCAGAGCTTTCGTGAAGAAGTCTGACCATCGGGCCGGCGGTCGTCCAGAAGTCAAAATACTTCGGACAAATTTCCAAACAAATCGAGAATTTGAATCTTACGTCGGCAAACTGTGGGCATTCATGGGTAGAAGGCCCCTCTGTTCGCTGGTGTCTTACGGCCCACTTGCAGGCCAGCCCACTTGCAAAATCTGTGACAGAAGATTTTCTCGTTGAAACTCATGCTAGGAGAGGGTGGAGGGAAGAAACACAAATGTTATGCGCTTCTTAAGTGCTGACGCGTTCAGACGCCATAACTTCTTTTGAACCGAGCTCATTAGAATCTACGCATTCGCTTATGCGACATCAGCTTTCAGCCCGACGCATACGTGATCAGACCGCTCAATGAACCTTCAGTTTATATTTATTACGATGTTGGTGAGCTAGCGCCGAAAAAGTCGGCGACCAGAAGGGTGTTCAACCAACGCCCGAGACTGCACCACCTTTTGGACATTGGGGTGAATCTCAATTTGAATAGGAGTGCAAAAAACAGATGTGTTAGATTGAGCTCTCGAACACGAATATTGTACCCGTTTGACGCGAAACACCTATTGCCTGCATTACAAGCACGAATTCTTGAGCTTTCTTCAAGATCACCCCACGAGCAAGGGTTTTCTCGAGAGGGCATAACTACGTTCAAAGAAATCTTGAGAGACCTTTTAGTAACAGATTTTTTGCAAAATTAGTGATGTAAGGTGTATGGTGTGCCGACGAAGCAAGCGACCACAAGGGTCCATGTTTAAATCGTCCAGAACAGAATCGCAGACAGCCACTCTCAGCATTAGATTGATTAATCGCGGAAGCGTCGTTTCCGAAAGTGAATAGGACCTAGAAAAACGCAAAAGAACCAAGCAAATCACGGCTCCAAACCCTTACCCTCTCAGACTCGAGACGTATACTAACCACAGGCCACTTGCTGCACATCATGCACCATATACGTGTCATACTCGTGCCGAGCTTGCATCTGCTATGTATCCCAACAACCTCTCCAACTTCATTCGGAGTTTCGTTTAGTAGATATGGAATTTAGGTTTGAGAACAGCGTTTGAAGAGCTTTGTGTGATTTGATGAGTTTCTTATCAGTCCTGTTTGCCAGTTTCTTATCAGCCCTATATGTTTCTTATAGAATAGGCATATATCGAACTGGTCCATGGCGAGACATGTGTTCGGGCGTGGGGAACCACGACGTAGTTAACGAAATCGCATTTAGAGGGGGAATAATTCCACTTACACGGGACCCTTCACTGAATAATGGTATGCCGAATACAAGAGATCCGAGCAGGAGGAGAAGACTGGGGAAAAATGAAACTAAACAGAAACGTAAAAAAAGTAACTGAAAAAGTGGGTGTAGGTGATTTGGAGATGTTAATGTTGTTGTTTTTGTGTTGAGTTCCGGCTGCGTTAGAGAATTTAGTACATCTTTTATTTTTCATGGGCAAGCAGCCAAGTCCTTGAAATTTATTCTTTATCCAAGCATATTTCTGTCTTGCGAACTTCAGAACTGAACATGGTACTATTAAGAAGCTCCGGGTTTTCTTCCATTTTTCTTCAATCTTCTTCCTTGCCCTAGCGAATTGTCGCGGCGGAAAAAGCAGCATGTAGCCTCTTCCAACACCACATAAGTATATAAGCATACATCAATAGCTTTTACGGTGTAAGCACTTGAAAGAAGAAGCGTTTGCTTCGACACCTTTACAGAATCAGCAGATGTTTTATCGATATCTCTGGGACCTGGCGGAAGTGCTGTACTGGCACGTGGTGCGTCTTATGACACGCACGGTCCGTGGATCAAATCCTGGATCCGTCCGTTTGCCGGGTCAACCAAGCCTTCCAGGATCGTTTAATAGGCAGCTTATCTTGTCTAGTACAATCAAATACAATGACTTTTACATCAGCCGGCCGCCACAAGCCTTGTGTAGCCAATTGCATTCAAATTGCCAATACGATACCGAATGGAAGTAGAATGCGTGGAGAATACGGAATTGATCGATGTCGAATTTCCCTTCTACAATACTGCTCCTAATTTTGAAACACCTACGCGTTGCGACGGTTTTGCAGCGTCGCAAACGGTCGCACCGTCATAACTCCCTCGAAAGCGGGTAAAATGAAAGGATCTTCAGAAAGATGGACTCGTCTCTACAAAACTACTAATTTGGTTAAACTCATAATAAGTTATTCCATAAACTATCATCGATCCCTCGTTTGACAGTCTCGCCTCTCCTCGTTTCCATTATCTCTCCAATCGGGACCAGCTCTTAGCTAGCCTCGATGATTTCGTAACGCCTCACTTCGAGCCCTTCGCCACTTACGATTGGACGTAAACGCCAAGATGCTCGCCTCTTAAAAAAAATTCCCGCGCGCGCTTGTTTAAACAATTTAGGCGCCTCTTGCTCAGCTACATATACATATACGAATTCCCTAGCTCCTTGGGATCCACCTGGAGGGACCGGGTCAAGTGTGGGATGGGTGGGCAAGGTCTCGCGAAGTACAAAACACATCAGCTAAGCGGAGCTCCGCCCACAGTGGGCGTGGCGTGCATCGAAATGAACTGTACTGACAACCAAGATTTCAAGTTTTATAACAAAACAGCCTCGAAACTAGGGAAAAGGTGCGCATTGGTAAGTCAGATGGAATTAGGGAAACCCACCCTCGGTGGGCGTGGGGCGTTCTCCAAAAAAGCAGTGCTAATGGAAAAGGTCTACGGACAACTTGAACTCAGTCCTTTAAACCGCGTCGACTCGATGCTCTCGCCTGCGCTTTCTCGTTTAAACAGCGGCTTATGATTATTGTGATCTGAGACATTAAAGCTTTACCACAATGTATTAGGTTGTCGGAAAAGTCTTTGGCCATTTATCGAACTTTTTTTCAAATCCGTTTTTCTTCTTTAGCCCAGTCAGCAATTTACAATCATATGCCCCATCGTAATCGTCAACATATTGCCTTTCAGCAGGTGACTTGTGGATGCCGTTTGCCTAGAAGTCCTGAGCTTTCAAGGCAAAAAACTGGAAGAAGTCCGTTTTCGAGTAGTCCGATCGTGAAGCTCTCCCTCTTTTAGTTGAATCAGCAGCAACAGAATGCAGACGATATTCTGTTGGAGTCGAATTTGCTGACCACAACCGTCGAGACAGAGCGCCCCATAAGGGGCTTGGAGGCTTTTGCTGGACCTTCTTCAAAATTCCTTGACGGTCGCTGCTGGATGAAGTGACTTTTGTAATGTTTTCTAAGCATAGTGCGGAGAACCCATCCGCTTGTCCACATTATCAAACCACAACAGCAGTGCAGTAGTTGGTAGAGCTGTCTCTTAACAAATCGCTTGTAGCTTTACCAACTCTGAAGGTTGCCTCACAAGTTGGAATGGACGTCGGAATCTTTGGTTCTACGCGTCTGAGCCAGTGGCGCTCCGGGTGTGGTTTACTTGAGGAACCCACTCCTTGCTACCACCAACAAAGTAGTCGGGTCAAACAAGATACAGACGGTAAATCAAAATGTTCATGCAAAATCTGAAGGCCTCTGAAGGCGGTTGTCACCCAAATCACGAAATCTCCTTTTGCCAATTACTCTTCTTTTTAAAAAGCCATTGGAAATGGCTGTCGGTTCTGATAACTGTGGAGAAGCTTCGCTTGCACCAGAGAGTGCTTCCAAACAACTCCAGAAGACACTCGTCACTCAGGGTAACAAGCCGACCGACTTTGGGCTTTTTTCTCGAGTTTCTGGACATCGGCAACCAAATGTTTGCCATGTCGTGAAAGACACTCTGAAGCTCCATCGCAAGACGTAGGGCTCTTGCCGCATCGCTTCCACTGACGCGTTTTCTGGGTTTTAGAATCAAGAGTAGCCAAATATGCTTTCAGTCAAAGTCGATTTTCTTTAGCTGCGAAATACCACGGCAGAAATGCTCTGAAGAGATCATTGACTAAGGTTCACATGCGTTTCACAATGGATGTTCAAAAAGCATCCTTGGAGATTTTACAACAAGCAGATGAAAATGGCCAAAGACTTTTCCGACGGACCTAATAATTGGCTCACCCACTCCGATGTCCGTTCTCTCTCCAAGGCTTAGTCCTAGGGTTGCCACCTTCCTTCTTGGGTTTTGGAGCCGAGCCAGGCGCCGTTCTCTAATCGTCTGCGCTCTGGCCTTTCGCGGCAGAGAACACAGGGGAGAGTTCAAGTAGTCACGTAATCAATGGAAAAAATTACAACTCGGTTAGGTGAAAGTCAATAGAGCAGAAAAATCGATGTAGCTAACAATAAGCAACGTCTAGGGAGTTCCCAGCATGGAGCGTGTCCTGAAGTACAGAGCGTTTCCTACAAGTCCCCATAATTCGGTTCTGCAAGAAAAGAAGAAGAAGGTTTAGCAAGAAAAGAGAATAGAGGTTAGAGAAGGAGTAGCGGTTGAAAGC